AAGCAGTGGTAGGAAGTCCTGAGGCAGCAGATAGGAATGTAATCCCTGACTGGTGGTCACCGTGAGGCTGCTCACAACATTGATGTCTTCATATGACACAGGTTAATTTAAAAGATGACATTTTAGTGAAAACCTCTTAATTTATGTAGAAATTAAATAGAATGCATCAATTTATAGGCAGAGAAGCAGCTCCCATTGGCTTGGGTCTCTCACTGTAGCTGTGGTTTTATGTTACAGCCTGGGTAGTGGCTTCTTGCTAACACTTACTCCCTCATGCCCTAGAGTGAGGGGTTGAAAAAAAACAACAAACTAATCACCCTTTGACCACTAGATCAGTTCCTCAGTGGTGTCCATGGCACAGGCTGTGGAACCACTGTGCCAACACACCTGAGACAGCTGTGGTGTGTGGTGCGAGAACTGAATCATGTTGTCAGGACAGCCATGAATGAGTGTTGCTGCCAAAAGCTCTGCATCCCAAACATGCAGCATTGCTGTCTGCTTATTTGCCCTCTTCCTACCTTCAGGGTCTTCAGTTTCACACTTAAGCAGCTAAACCCAATCTGTGCTCCAGCACAGATGTTTGCGCTCAGTCTGTAAGGGAACCCTTCTGGCTTTTTAACCCACTGCCTTCACGTAGTCCTTGCCAGGCTGATCAGTGCCCCAGGCACTGGATGTTGTTATTTCAGCCCTCACTAAATAAAGGGATGTTTAATTTATCTCCACCCCTTCCATTAGCCTAATTGAAGAGTGTTTAACATGTTCCACAAGGAACATCTTTGAGCAAAACAGGATCTCCTCGCTGACCCTGGTAAAAACATTCTGCTTCTCCTCTGATATGGTAGTCTCCATACTTTATCTTCAGGCTGTGTCAGTATTTCTGGTGTTGGTACCACTTAGGATTAGATTGCCTTTCCAAAATTCACATGACTTTAAAAATAAATATGATAAAGCAATACCTATTGACTAGCCCTGTAAACATACTATCCTAATCCAGGACTTTAATGTCCTTCCTTTTGTGACATATTCAGGCCTGTTGGTCCCTGCACTAGATAACAGCATATGGATTCACACTGTTACAACTGAGAAAACCCTACTCTTCTGAAGACATGAACTACTTTTCATAGGGCTCAAACTTCTGTTTGCTGTATTCAAAGGAAAATATTTCTGAAAGTTGCTGATAACTGCATCTGTTTGAATTCATCAATTCATTACCACTATGAAAATTTGATAAACAAAAAAAATTTAATCCTTAAAGTGAAGTTTCCCACACTCGCAGTGTAATTACATTCTCCACTACTGTATTTGTTTCCTCTCTAAAAGAAGGAGGGGGGGCACAGAGCGTACTGTAACAGAATCACATTTAGCATTGGGTATTAATATAAAGAAATAGTACGGAAAGGTCCATTGAATCATGGAGTGATTCAGAAGGCAGTAAAGGAGGGCTCTTTGGCTATGCAAAAATGTCAGTGGTTTAGCATTAGATGAGAAATTTCTTAAACATGCTGTGAGGGACAGTTAGTTTCATCTGATTTTAAAACATAAGCAAAGTGAGTCTAGCAAGGTGCGGTGAGGAAGTGTGGTGTCACATGCCACTCTACAGGAAACAAGACTGAAGTTGCTGAGGAAGTTCAGAACTGGGTGACCTCCAGCGGATTCAAATAGCACAGGTTAGTTCTCTTAAAATGTCTCTTTACCCGTCCTACGGGGGTTCTGAATGTGTATTTTCACTGATGTTTGGTGGCAGTGGATAAGGAGTGGTCCGTATGGCAGTTGCACTAGCAGGTAGTAAACAACGGAGGCTTTCAGAGCAGAATGGTACAGAGCAAAAATAGGAAGCTCATTTCTGAGTTAGCTTGGTTTGTGAGAAGCTTGGAGCCTGCCTTGCAATACAACAGCAGTGTGGACCTCAGTCACGTTAGATGTCTGAATGAAATCTTCTCTATCTTGTTAAGACTTTCATATTAAGTAAATAGTCTGAATTTTTAATAGAAGTGTTCAGTGAATAAATACCAGAAAATACTTTTCCAAGCACAGGTTAAAACCACTGACTATAGTGAAAACTTTGTTTGTTTTGGCTGTACCGAGTAGCTGTTCTCTTTGATTTTACTGCTGTAGTCTCTTGTAAAAGTTTTCTCTTATTCCTGTGATATCTGTTGAGGAATTCCATCATGGTTTTTCTGTGCTGGAGGGTTTTGACTTGGGAACATGCTGTATCCGGAATAATATGGTGCTTGATTGGTTCTGAAGAACTTGGGAGCTCTCAGAGGGAGACTGTTTGAAGGGATGCATGTTCTGTACTCCTGTGCAAAAATATAATTTTTACTTTTAAATTACTAGGGGATTGTGTTTAATTATAAATCTTCAATGCAAAGTTGGAATGAAAGTTACAAAGAAAATAACCTTAATGATGATAAAATGCAGAATATAGCAGCAATACTGCACAGAATATGGACTAAAACTAAATCCCGACATGGGGCCCAAAGATGCTGGGAGAGCACGGGGGGAAGAGGAGGTGACAGCCACACAGGACTCAGACAGTGGTGGCAGGTGCTCCCCCTGCTCAGGCAAGGTCACAACCTGTGATGCAGGGGGGCTTGTACAGTGGCAGTGGCAGCAATCTAGCAAGAAATGCAGCTGCTGGGGATGACAGTGCTGTAACAAGGGCATGGCAGATGTTAAAATCAGAGATTTGAGTGCCAGGGAAGTGTTCCTAAAACTGCCCATATTTCTTCCCAAATATTTTTACGAACATTTCTGGTTTTATGTAGAAAACCAGACTAAGCTGCACAGCTCTCTCAGCCTCCTCATCCCACCCAGCGCATTCATCCTGTTCTCGTCGTAGAAACATCTGCGTAAGATGGACGCAGTGGCTCCAGACAGACCAGGCTGCACAAGCAGGAAAGTACTCGCCTCCTCCCACACGTGGAATTGGATGCTGCATCTGGCCCTCTGTGGGGCACTGAAGGTCTGGGCGAGATGGGAATAGTGGGGCTCTGTTTCTGGGCAGTTAACAGATCTGTGGCTCAGCACTGAGAGCTTGCTCTCGTGTTTCAAGCTTTGGGGTTTTACACGCAGAGAAGGCTTTGGCCTTAGCTGGGCTCCTCTGCTTCTGTAAAACCAGCAAGTTTTCAGAGAGCCAAAGTTCTGCCCCAAATCAGCCTTTCTGATGTATTAGGGTTTATAGCCTTCACCAGAGCGCTGTTAACTAGGAATGTGATTTAAAAGCAATTTAGTAAAATCCCACTGCAGACATTTTCATTTCAGTCTAATCCTGTCTTAGAGTGGCTCATCTCAAATAGATTAGGAGTTGTTTTAAGCTAAATATAATGGCTTGTAAATAATATATTTGAGCCTCCATGTAGAGGCTTGTGCCAGGCTTTTGAAATTGAATTAAAAAATAAACCAACACACTTTCCCAAATAAATAAACCCTAACACTTCTACTCTGCTACCAGGAGTGAACACAGGCAACCAGGATTGAAAGAGCAGCAGTGGTTGTTGAAGAGGGAGGATTTCTGAATGGACCCTTTCCACCAGCTCATATTATGAAAACCAGAGAAAGAATGTTTCTTCCTCTAACAAATTAAAAATGAAATCTGCAAAAAGAGGAAAGGGAATAAAGAGCACAGACTAAACAAAATGAAATAAATATGCATTGGAATTAGAGAGAAGGAAACCAAAAAAGAAAATAGTAAAAAATGGAACCAGATGGGAACAAATTCTGTGCTCAGGGAAAAAATGCTGCTCTTCTGTTGAACTTCAGAAGGAGGAGAGACTGTGTGCATGTGTTTGTGTGTATTCATAGCATCTATGGAAGAAAAATTAATTTTTCTGTATGATATTTTTGTTTATGTTTGGTTCTTTCCCTTGGGCAGTGTTAGTATAGAAGTTTTTAGGTTTGAGAGAACTTCAGTTAGATGAAAGCAACATTAAAGAATCCTTAATTCTGCAAATAAACAGAATAAACCACTCAATGCCACCTTAGTCACTGGCCAGATTTGCTCCCCAAAACTACTCGACTGCATTACTCTCTTGGTCTTGTGTCCACTGTGCACTTGGATCCACATCCACAGCATTCTACTCTCTGCAAGGGAAAAAGTAGGAGTTAAGATGTGCAACGCCACCTAATGCAAACCTGAACTGCATGAGCCGGCTTCAGAGAGTTTATAGCAGGATCCCCTTGTAGGTTTCATTTTACTACATAGTGTATGCCAAGGTTTCATGGCAATGAGGGACCGGAGTCTTGAGACTGGTTTCTAAATAGAAGTAAATCTGTAAAATGCTGAATGGTTACTGTTCTCATATTTTATTTTAAAATTACTGGATTGTTAAATACTTTTGTTCTAATGCTAAATACATCAAATGCACAAGTGCATCTTTTGCTGGGACATTATTTGCAGTACATCTCTTGCTAGCTGTTCCCTCTACCTTCCTTGCCCCCACATATGAATGCAAGTTCTGCAAGTCATTTCTGTAGTTAGCTGGTAAAAGCATCTAGACATTGAAGGTTTTTAATTTTACATTTATTTAATTCATTTTTTTCAACTTTGGCCTGCATTTTTCTCTAGCCTAAACTATAGAAACCTCCTTATTACAAAGCCAGTCATCAAACCACGTCTCTTATGAGGAGCAACTGTAGTAGTGGATAATTCTGTTCAGTCTTACCATCATGTCTATCTGTGGGGTTTTTATGCTTTTCTGTTTTCCCTCCACCATTTATATTGGCTTTTACTATGCTATGCTGAAGTTGGGGGAATTATCTCAAATTTCTTTGAGAACAAATGGGGTCCTTTGATCTCAGGGACTGATATGGAGAGCACAGCCAGTGTGTTTTCCTGTTCTGATTCCTCTTTAGAAGGAGAGGGTCTCTTCTTCACATGCTGCCAGTTTCTCATGCAGAATTTCAATTTATTCAAGGAAATACATAGTAGATATGTACCCAGGCTCTGTGATCCCAAATGTTTCACAATTAATAGTGGGTTTGTTTTTTTTTTCCTGCAGGAGTGTGCAACCTGGGAAATGTTATTGCAATTGCATTAACTTCAGGAAGTGTATTCTGGATGAATTGACCTGGCCTCCTATTCTATGAAAGCATCTCTTCTGCTGGTGACCAGGTACAGAACCTGTGGGATTTGCACTGAGAGGGATGGGAATGGGTAGAAGTCATAGTGGGAGCAGCATCACAGGGAAACATCTCTGGTGTGTGGCTTTCCTGGCCTATGAGAGTTGGAGGGTGTAGGGCCATCTCATGTCTTAGATTGCAGTGTGACAATACAGGAGTCATTCTTCTCCAGGGCAGGATTAATGGCAGCACCAGTTTACTGGAATGCTCTTATGTGGCATACCTTTCCTAATGACAGAGTTAGGTGCCTTAGGTTACATCAAATTTTATGCCAAATCCACAAGCTTTTAACATGTGCAGCAGGTTGGTTTGGTTTTGGTGTTTGTTTTTTTTTTTTTTTTTTTCATTCCAGTAGCACAAGGCTAACAGTGAAGGGATTTAACACTTGGCAAGTAGGTCAGGAGACCTGAGATATTATATGACCAAGAACTGTTGGTCATGGCATTACACTTGAAAACTGCACAGTGAAGCCTACAATGTTTATGGTGTGGTGCTAATGAACAGTAACAGTATGAAAAGGTTCACTGAAACATATAGTTAATGAGAAAGAAAGAAATAACAGTAAGTTTACTTTTTTTTTTTTCCACTGAAGCAGAGTATCCATCAGAAAGTATGTGCTGTAGATAGGCTGCAACATGCTGACCTAGAGCTGGTGCAGTCCAGTAGATCAAGTATTACTTTCTGTCTCAAGTGCCCTGTGTTGTAAGCCCCAACTGTGGCTTCTCTGTGGTTAGTGGACCAGGTAGAAACTGATGCTAGGAGGGTCTCAGAGGTGCTTGGGATTTTGGTTCTCTGTAGACATGAGCACAAAACCATTCAGGGTTCCTCCTTGAGAAGGTCTAGGGCTGGGCCATATGGGTTGATGCTCTGGTGTAGTTTCAGCAGTGCACTTGCTTTGGAAACCACTGTCTGAAGGAATCTGTGTGCCAGGCTTGGGAGATGTGAGAGGGAAGAGTTAGCCCTAGGAGCAGAAATGTTTCGCTTCATTTGTGGATCCACAACTCTTATCAGGCATGATGGACCAGATGAGAATTGGTGCAAAGACTATTTTTTTGAAGCGTTATTTCTACAGGACCAAAAAAAGAGGGTACTACTGTGTGATCAGTAGTCAAATATACCTGTTTGGGCATTGTTGATAGGAAAGGATGGCCTGTTTAAAGGAGGGAAACATGCAGATAGGGAAAAATATCAGTATTTTTAAATTGACATTTATATTTTATTTCAAATTAGTAAATTGGATGCTGCAAAAAAACTTACAATGCAATACTGAGATAAAGATGGTGAATTATGTCACTCTCACCCATTTCACATATGATATGGGAGTATGGAACGTCCTATGAATGCAGTAATGATGACAAACAGCACAAATACAACCTGTAAAGAAAGACTGGAGGAAATATGGTTGCTTAACCTAAAGAGGAGAAGATCAAAGAGACATGTAAACAGTTTTCAAAAACCATGAAGAGGAAAGGAATAAATTCTTCTAAGCCTTAGTTGTAAATAGGCTGAGAAATAGTAAGTGAAATCACAGCAAAGGAGGTCTAAATTAAGTACTGGGAAAAGCTTTACTAGCTGTCACACTAATGAGGTAGATGACTGAGGGATATTGCAGAGTTTCCATCAGTGGAGATTTTTAGAGAGAAAGAGATAAATACCTGCCATAGTGACTCAGTGGAAGAGTAGATGCCTTCTTCCAGTCCTGCTGTCTTTTGCTCAGTATTTCAGTCTCCTTATTGACATGACTGAATTTTTCTGGTTATTGATGAAAGCTGAATAGTCATTGCCTTTAAAATTAATATTTCCATGTGTACAGTACAGTATATTCCATGTTCTACTTTTCAGGAAGGGAAGGTAAAATTCTGTTCCTGAGTTTCCTGAGGAGATTTTGCTTCTGTAATTTGGGAGTGAACTGGTAAAATGAGTGCATTATACTCAGCACTGTGGTTAAGCACTGAGTTACTGTTAGCACCCACGTAACAACCAGGTCTGATCCTGGCATAAAAGGGAGCCCTGAAAAGGCAGGACCTGCTGCTGTCTCTGGTGAACAGTTGTGGCAAACTTCTCATTTTTAGCACAGGTCTCAAATCTCTGGTACTCATGGCAAACTTCAAATTCGTGCTGGCTATGCAAAACTGGCTTGGTCTGCAGTGAACAGCATTTCCTTATGTCAAGTTCCAGTGGATCAGGGCTCACCTAAAGAAGCGTTTGGCTGCAGAGTTCATGCTCTGTTCACACAGCAGCCCTGGTGTGAAGCAGGGCTTTTTGGCTGTGTGGTGGTGCCCAGATTGGCATTCCCTCTGGCCTTCTGGGAGTCTGCCTGCTCACAGGGGCCTTGGCAGATATAGAACAAAACAATGATCCTTTGCCGGTCATCAGGGCTGCAGTTTAAGAGAGAAAGTAGACTTCATGAGAGTAATAACGTCTTATGACCCAATAAATCAATACAAAGCTTCCTGGCAGCTGTGGGTTTGATCCAGATATTACAGCTGAGTTTGGAAAAAGTATTCTTTTTATCTGGAAGCCTGTGGCCTCAGATTTGAAGTAACTCTTAACTCTCCATTTAATTACAAATTCTGATTTTGAAAGCAGAGATGTTGGGAGTCATATTTCAGTCTGCCATATGCTAAACTTAGCCTTCAAATTTTCTGAAAATAAACCCAGTCTGGTTTTGCCCATGCAAGCTAACCAAATTATTCAGTCAGTCTGATCAGAGTTTTGGCCGTATTTACAGGATTTGGCAGATGTGATGCTAACTTTAGCTAGGGCTTAACAACTGTGACAGCCACTCCTATTACAAATAAATTAAAGGGGAAATTGGTTGCCACCCTCCAATAGCTACTGTTTCAGGACACCTGCACTGAGCACTCCAGCCTGCTGTGACTAATTTGCTTTCTTCTCTGAGCTTCTGGTAGACTGGCATTAGCAAGGACAAATTTGAGCAGTCCTGTGGACGACTCTCCTGAATAAGAGGACATGTTGAATGTTCTAAAGAGGAAATGCAGGTGTTGAATGATGGTATGTGGCTGCTTTTGGTTTTGTGGGTATGTTTTTTCGTAGCCGTGGTATGCCATACGTACCTTTTTCTTTTTAGCTTGAACTACAACAAACTATTACTTTTTATGCAAAAAGCTGCATTTGGAATACTAGCAGGAGCTCCACTAGACCTGCTGTCTTGAATATAAGAGGCAAATAACCTCCAAACCCAGCTACTTCCTGGGCTCCCAGTGAGGTCCTGCATGGCCTGTGTGGCAGGCTGCCTCAGAACTGCCTCAGAGCTGCCAGCTAACATGAAGGTGCAATGCTGGCTGGGCACCACTTCCAAAAACCTGGCAAGAGCAGGAGCTGCTGTGGACCCCAGAGCAGCTGTCTGGGGCAGCTTGTCTCTCCTCAAGCAATGGCTTGTGGCTCCTGCCAAGTTCAGGCAAGATGTGGATTTGTCCCTCTTGGCATATTCACCTGCCTAGCACATCCATCTGGGTCTGACCTATGCAATCAGCTAGAGATGACCTCATGTGGGATGTCACTACAGTGGCCTGGGCCCTGTGGTAGACCCAGGCCCTCCAGGGCTGGCACCCACATGGCACACTGCCTTTGACTACACTTGCTGCATGGAAACATTTGGTTGTCAAAGGTCCTAGAAAACAATTAGATATATAAATATTTAAAATAAAGTGCAAATAACCAAATGGAACTGCTTGGTTTTTACTCACCATGACTTGGACAAACGTTCTGGTTTGTTGTTGACTTAACCAGCTTCACAAGTAGAAAGTGGAAGGGTGCTGTATGTTTCCAGCTGGAGTTGCTGCAGTAGGCGGTACAGATGTGCTGTTTTCCTTCTCAGGAAGGCAGCACAGGACGTGCCTCCTCTTCATTTAGGGGAAGATTGACTAGTTCTTGTCCTAAGCTGTGAAAGACTTTGCCCTGTTTTTTTGGCAGAATCCATTAATAATCATTCTTTCCACCTTCTCTTCTTTGCTCACTAGCTAAGTATTTGCCATGTGCAGCTGTAAAAAGTTGTTTCCAAAGAGAAATAAATTGCAGCAAAAACTCCTGTAATCGGAGATGCAGAGGAAAGCAGAAGGGCGTTTTCAATTTGGTGTCCTTGGTTGCTTTTTGTTTGATTTGTGCCATACTTTAAACTAGAGCCCTCTGCAGGACTGTGGCCCTCCTGGCTTGTCTGCATCTGGGTCCTTCCAGTCTTAACTCTAGTAGCACTGTCCCTCCTGGGACCAGGGATAATCAGGGCATCAGGATTAAGTAAGAGATCCCTATGCTGGGTTGGCAGCACCATGTCGATACCTTAAGGAAGCATAAGAAAACATAAGCATCTAGCAGTTGGATTTAGATGCCTAAGTTGGAAAATTTAGTTTGGATATCGACGTTATTGGTTGTAGTTATAGTTTCTTGGGATATTTTTATTGAAAATATGTTCTAATTAATACCATCAGTTTATCAAAACCTTTTTCCCCCTAAGATCAAAGGAGACTTTGGTACAAAATTTAAATTTTATAAATTAGAAAATTCTAAAGTGGGCTTTTAAAAGAAATTTAGAATGCTTGAAGTGGAATATAGGATCTCCTGAAATTTGGACTTCCAACAACAGAATGTTTAATTCTTGATTAAGATAGAAATCTCTTATGTCTCAAACTTTTTCAGGCCATAAAATTAATTTCCCATTCTATTTTTTTCCCCCAAATCCCATATTATTAAACCCACACAAATTTTTGTGCTAGTCCACGTAGATCAGGGAATCTAGAATCTGTCTTTAATGTAACATTAGAATTGCTTTGAGTCTGAAAGAACCACAGGCTGATGCAAAACAGAACTTGGACGTTGCCATCTATTAGACAACTGCCAAAAATTAAATCTTCAGAAGCTACTTATAAGGCTTTCAACTGGACAATGAAAACCTTTGGTTAGGTGCAGACAACTTAACTGTGTGCCCTTACTGTAAGTGTTTCAGTTGGCATCGTCTGCAGCAGGTGTGGACTG